ATTGTCCTCAATGTTGAAATAAAAGCAAAGGAACATAAGAGAATGACATAAAAAAATTAAAATATGAAAAAAAATAAAAGATAAGGAAAAAGAAAGCAAATCTGATTTTTTTCTTTTTGTGTTGGGTTGCCTCCCAGTAAGCACTTTTATTTTATGTCATTGGCTTGACATATGGCATGTTCATTTTTCATATATTGATTTGGCTAACTCTTCAGAAGTGGTGAGTTCTACCATCCAACCTTCATAGAGAGGTTTTAAACCATGCCCATTGATCTTGAGTACTTTGTTGGTTTCTAAACTTGTAATTTCAACTGCACTATAAGGAAAAATATTAGAAACAACAAAAGGTTCAATCCAACGAGAGAGCGCAATTTTCCAGTAAAAAGTTTCAAACGCGAATGATAAAGAAGTACTTTATCTCCAACATGAAACTCCTTTCTTGTAAGCATTCGGTCATAGAGACTCTTAATCTTTTCTTTGTAAATCCTTGCATTATCATAAGCATCATTTCGTATTTCTCTCAACATAATTCTAATCTTTTTAGGCACCAAAAATATTGGCACCACCCATTCACTATCCGTGATGGGGTAAATAACTCGTGCTTCACGGAGGACAATTTGTAAAACTTCTAAGTCATACATGTTTCAAGGAACACATCTATGCCTCTCCATCTTTTCTATCTTGGTAAAATCATAAGCATAGCTCAAAGTTATACTTAATCCGTCCTCGCTATCAAAATCACAAACTTGATGCATACACTTATCAACCTGGTCATAACATGTGATAGAATAAACATTACTATAACGATATGTCATTGCATCATGAAAATTAAATTCAATTTTTTCATCTCCTACCTCCATAGACAAAGTATCGTTACCACAATCAATTTTTGTATTGGCAGTTTTCAAGAATGGTCTCCCAAACAATATAGGAGTGTTGTTTAATGAATCATAAGAATCATGGTCCATATGAAGAATATAAAAGTCATATAGAATGACCAAACTATCAATCTTGACTAGGACATCTTCTATCACACCAAATGGGTTAACAAAACTACGATCTGCAAGTTGTATTACAATGCTAATTTTATTCAAAGGCTTAAGACTAAGAGAATCATAAACATGTTTAGGCATAATACTAATGGATGTAGCTAAATCGCACAAGGCCCTTTTGAAACTAGTATTACTAATAACACATGGGATAGTAAATGCACCTGGGTCTTTTTGCTTCAAAGGCATATTCTTCTGAACAATAGCAAATACAACTTCACCCATACTTACCATTTCATGACCTTTTAGTTTGAAAGCTCTCTTGGTAGTACACAACTCCTTCAAGAATTTGGCATACTTGGGAATTTACTTGATAGCATCAAGCAAAGGAATGTTAAGTTCTACTTTCTTTAAAACCTCTAAAATCTCTTTTTCTTTGTCTTCTTTCTTTGACCTAGAAGAACTCACAAGAAAGGGTGGAATTGTTTTAAAAAAGGAATTCATTGAGTAAGGAGTTACCTTTGGAGTGTTGGTCAATGTTTCAGTTTGTGGAGGAGGAGGATGTTCCTTCTTTGTACTTAATTTGGTTTTTATCTCTTTTTCTTCCTCCATCTCAATTTCTTTCAACCTTTTCTCTTCAAATTCTTTCCCACTTCGCAACATGATCACACTAACATTCTCTATTGGATTCAATGCTTAGGAGGGCAATTTTCCATTCATTTGTGCTTCCAATTTCCCCACATTTAAAGCTACTTGCCCCATTTTCTTTTCCAAGTTATGAATACTTGACCTTGTTTCTTGTTGAAAAGTCATGACATTTTGCTGCAAGATCACAGTGTTAAAGGCCAAAGTTTTTATCATCTCATAAAGATCATCAATGGATGCTGACCCCATAACATTGGAGTTTGTGAATGGAGGGGGCTGTCTTGCTTGATAATTCTATTGGGCTAAAATCCATGGGGATGGAACTGTCGGCCTTGATTGCCTTGTTGAGGTGGGTTCCCATAACATAAGTTTGGATGATCTCTCTATCCAGAATTGTACGTGTTGGAAAATGGATCATATTTACGCTGGGGATGTCCGTTGAATGCTCCATCAATTGCATGAGCTTGTTCAATGTAATCTTCTTGCATTGTTGGGCACATATTCGAAGCATGTCCTTGTAAGGAGCATATGCTACAAACTTTCACCTGCTGCACATTTTCACAAGCTAGAGAATGCACAAGAGAAGTAAGATCATTAACTTTATTTCCAAGGTTAGAAATACTTACCTCATTTACTCGAGAAGTCTCCACAAGTGCCAAACTATTTCGAGTTGGCTGTCATGTTTGAGATCAATTGGTGTGTAGCCTCGGGTGTCTTACCCACCAATACGCCTCCACTTGCAGCATCAATAATATTATGATCAGTAGGCATCAATCCTTCATAAAAATATTAAATGAGCAGCTAATCGGGTATTTGATGATGAGGACATTGAATGCAGAGTTGCTCAAATCTTTCTCAATATCCAGAGAGTGCCTCTCCATGAGATTGCCAAATCCCACATATTTCTTTCCTTGTGTTGGCAACTCGAGATGCTAAGAAATACTTCTCAAGGGAAATCTTCTTCATGGCATTCCAAGTTCCAATAGAACCTGGGAGAATAGAGAAAAACCATGTCTTTGCTACCCCTTTTAAAGAGAAAGGGAAAGCTTTCAACTTAATCTGTTCTTCATCAACTCCATTCGGTTTCATGCCAACACAAACCATATGGAACTCTTTGAGATGAGTATGAGGATCTTCTCCTGCAAGACCATTAAATGTTGGTCGTAAATGTATAAAACCAGATTTGAACTCAAAGTTTATATTATTGTCAATGTTTATGCACAATGATTGACTTTCCATGTTAGGAGCAGCAAGCTCCTTGAGTGTTTGTTGTCGTGCAACCGTCATGGTGTTGAGGCGAGCTTCCTTTCTTAACCTGCATAAAGTGTTTTCTAGTTCAAGATCAACATGCACTTGAATTTGATTAGTAGAACGGGTCACAGGTATCAATCGCTGAGAAAACTCAAAAGAAAGCAACCACATAAAAGATAAAAAAAATGAAAATTATATGAAAATCCTATACTAAAAAACTAAAATTGCCTAAAAATGTTAGTAAACAATGGAATTTTGCCTCGAAAGGAATAGGCTAGTAGCTTACTACTAGTCTTGTTTAGAACATTGTTTTTCTTTAGGAAACAAAAGGCTGATACCTAATTCCACCAAAAAATCTGTTTTGAATAGTGCCACTAGTGAACAATACCGTCGCAAGTCTTTTTTTTTAAGAAAAGGAAAGAAAAATAAAAATCATAGAAAATAAAAATAATAGCACAAGAATCAACTAAAATTACTTCCCTGGCAACGCACTAAAATTTGTTGCAATGTCGCGGTCGCCCAAATTAATTACCCTAACTTAAAACACACAAGATAGTATAAAGCAAGTAAGATGTCGATCCCATGAGGAAGGTTTAGTTAAGATTTTTATGCTATATGTTATGCAATTGGGGGGGTTTGGTTTGTGATTATCTAAACTATTGCAGCAATTAAACTAGCAAGCAAAATCAATTAAAATCAAAACTTATCAAGAAAACAAATCTTGGTTGCAAGCACATATTAACCTACAGAAATCAAAACTGATCATGGAAATGAAATATTAATTTATATTCTGAATATTTATCTCTTATTAATATTGGTTAGTTAACGGATCCACCGTATAACTAACCCTAACCATCAAATAACCATAGTGTTCGCACTAGTAATTTAATTCAATGGCAACCTTTAGATCTAGATAAGTTGATTAATCAATAAATCATAATTGTTCGCAGTCTATGTTTGATTTGATTGAATGTTCTCCCTAAGATTAATAACATAAATCCACTATAATTATTAAACTCAGTTGCTTCACAAGTTCATACTACAACTCCGGTTTTGATATCAAACTTAGCAAAAGATTGTCTACAATAATAACTTAGAGTCCGCTCTAGTAATTAAAATAAACAACCATAGAAAAAGTAAACATAAGAGAATAAACATATTCATCATATAAACTAAAAATAAAAGGTAAAATAAATCTCATAGTTATTGAAATCTGAAGGTTTCTGTGTCCTTACAACCAAGAAAAGGTGTTTAGCCTTGCATGTTTGTTGAACAACTAATCAAAAAGAAGGAATAATACATAATTTTGAGTTTCTAAGAGGAGTGGGGTGTTTTTCTCCTCTTAGGTGGCTGCTCCCCTTCTCTTCTCTTATTCTTTTTATGTCATAGGAAACCCTAATCTCTATTTTACAAAATAACCCTCCCTTAAGTAGCAAGTTTACAGTTAAGTACTTCAATAACTATTTTTCCTAAAAAGAAAAAATATCTTTGCATGAAATCTTCAAGCTCTGACTTAGAGGAGCTAAATTACTGATATAAAAACTTGGATATTGGTTTAGATGCTTCAGAACGTAATTTAGACTCGTTTCTTCACAAAACTTGTTTGGTAGCAGAATTCAGTTGTCATCTTTGAAAAATAATATCTCCTTCATATGACATCTTTTTTGGCTAAAATTTGGATCGTTTATATAACTTTGAGTCAGAAAGCCAAAACAAATTGAGTTTGTATCAATTGGACTTCTATAGCTCTAGATATTGAATTTTTAATGGACAAAGGTCAATAGTGGCATAATGCGAGATTCGACTTTGCAGGATGTGATTTCCATGATCTTTCTCTTTTTATTTTTCTTGCCTTAGATTTACATAAAGATATGGATGTTAGCTTTTTAATGCCACTAGAATCACTTCATTTCAACCTCTAGAACTCACGCTCTGCACAAAATATCGACTGAACATCAAATCTGCCAATTACCTTCAATTTACTCATTTTTGCATCTTTCATCCAAAAATACCTTCAAAACATAAAACAAAGAATATCAAGGTATTTTACATATAAAAAATGAAAAAAATATTAGGTAGATATAAATGAAAATATCAAATAATATAGTTACATCGTAGTGCACTTTATTTGATTCAACAATCACTGGCTAATACAATTTTTTTTAGGATTACTAAAGCTTCAACAGCACAGGGAGCGTTGGATATGTTGCAGGAGGAGTTTCTCGGCGATTCTGAGGTATGCACCATTAGACTCCAAATAACACGAAGAGAGTTAGAAAATATTAAAATGAAAGATTTTGAGACTGTTAAAGATTATCATGGAAGAATTAAAGTAGTTGCAAATCAAATGAGATGTGTAGGAGAAAATATTATTGATCAAAGGGTTGTTGAAAAATTTCCCATCAATCTTACAAGAAAATGACTCTATAGTTACTACTGTAGAACAATCAAAAGATTTAACAATCTTGTCACTAGCTGAACTAATAAGTTCTTTAAAAGCACATAAGAAAAGACTCAGTACTACGAAGAAAGACTCTATTAAGAGTGCTTTTCAATCTAAGCTTAATGTAAGGTCCTATAAATCTAAACATAATATCGAGAAATTAATGGATCTACAACGATATTATATAATAATAAGTCAATGATTTCTTTGAGAAATTAATGGATCCGCAACGATATTATATATTAATAAGTCAATGATTTCTTTGAGAACAATTAACAGATATCTTCACGAAAGCTCTTTCGTGAATTAAGTTTGAGGCACTACGAGATCAACTTAGAGTATCAGTTTAGTGCATTAAAGATGAGTGTTAAATTATTTATGCATTTAAAGAAGATTCTAGAGGTCACTTCCAGAAAATACTACAAGTTAGTGCCAAGTTAAGTTACGAAAGTTATAGAGAAATCATACAAACACTAGGAACGTTATATGAAAGAAAGAATTCCCATCCACAATTCAAAGAACTCTAAAATTTTCTAGTGAATTGCCTAAGATTCTAGCAAGTTCTATGGGTGAAAAGTTTGTCTAAGTTGTTCCATTTAGGTTGGTTAAGAGGGCTATAAATAGTCATGCAACCATCACTTGTAACGTAAGCCAAAAACGATGCTAAGCTTAAAAACCTTTTTTTTTTAATTCTTATCCTTGTATTATATCTACTATCAACGAAGTTTTTGCCTTGTGTATCCTGAATCCTTCAACCATTTCTAAACTACAAACTAAGTCTTTCTTTTACCAAACTACTACAACTAAAAACCTTAACTATCAAACTACTACAACTAAAAACCTTAACTATCAAACTACCTTTACTAAAATCTCTGATCACTAAAACCTCTAAACTACCTCCTAAACTACCATCATCCTCTAAGACATTTCCATTACTAAAAGGTATGTACGTGCATGACATACTTGCAGTTCTCTTTGAAGCTTTACTTACGAATTTTATTTTCCATTATATTAATGATCGGTATTGTGAGTTGATATAATTTTTCTTAGAATTTCACATAACAGTTTGACTAGCTTTGAGTTGAGATTGTTCATTAACAATAGTTACTTGCATAATAATATTGTTAAAACTGCAGAAAATAAAAGACTAAAACTTGCAGGGAGAGGTAGATAATTTGAGACTTAATAGTTGAAGAAGAGCAGAATACATTTCACAAATGAGAAGGCCTATTTATTGGCTTACAACCAAACTGAAATTACTTAAAAGTCTTAACTACTATCAGATTTTATTAGCACTACTTCTACGTACCAACTGAAAACAGAAAATTAAGGAGCATGAATCTAATATGAAACAATAACAAAGACTAAGTCTACCTAAGATTGTTTCAAACTTCAGAGGAAAACTCTCATGAATTCTAACAAATTATATGTAAAGAGCAGCTGAGATAAAACAGGGAGATGTGGAACCAACTTATGGAGCAGCCATGGAAGAAAACTGGGAAATAATGGTTAACTACTATCAGGGACATATAGAATATTTTTCCTCTCCAGTTACGGACACTTGGGATACTGTACTTCATCTAGCTATACACAGCAAAGAAGAGAAACCACTTAAAGATTTACTTGAAATCATGAAGAAAAGAGAATTACCTTTAACTGATCAGACAGAAATTCTCAAGAAAACAAACAAATTTGGAAATACGGCTCTTCACGAGGCAACCATCTATGGCAATTATGAGGCTGTAAGACTCTTGGTAGAACGTTGTCCAGAGCTGCTTTCGATTCAAAATGAGTTCGGTGAAACCCCATTGTTTACAGCTGCCGGATTTTCTAAGACAGAAATAGTAGAGTTTTTAATCAGACACAAACCAGAACAATGCGTGGATGCTAATGGCCGCCTATTACCACCTCACAGCAAGCGATCGGAATATTACCTGTCCATCCTTAGCGCAGCTATCATAGGGCAAAAATTTGGTAACCATTCCTCTCTTTATTGAGTTCTCAAATTTAAAAAGTATACATATATAAGATATTGTATAATTTTTGTCTTCCTAATTTCATGAAAGCAGAAACAGCTTTATTGTTGCTAGAACTGGATAAATCGCTCGCCAGCTTGAAGGACAAAAATCAAATATCTACTCTTCAACTTCTAGCCGAAATGCCAGCTGAGAGTGAATTTCCCATGGGCATATTTGAAAGACTCATCTACTGTTGTATGCCTACTCCAACCACATTATTAGACCTTACAATATTGCCTACATATTCTTGTTTGAATACCATGGACATACACATACATATATATGTAAATAATTTGAACTCTAAATTATGTTGCAGGCCTTCCTGTTAAACGTCACCACGAGGTAAAATCACAGGTACAAACTTGGTGCCTGGCAAATAAGAAAGATCTTGAGCGCGGTCGGGGGAGGAACTGAGGAGATCCGGGGAGTGTCTGGAAGGGGAATCAAAGAGGCGGCATACTCAAATATTTAAAGGTCCCTGAAGGTATTATTGAGCTACCTTTATATATGAGATTAGATCAAGTTCTCCAATGCAATGAAACACATTTCATTCATGTCAGCATTAAGGAATCATAAGAATTTAAATTCCATGGCTTGACCCGATATTTGAATCCTGTAGCCAATATTGGTACTTACATAATTGAGTCGCAGTTTCTTTTTTTAGTGGACACGGGCTACACAAGCAGAGTAGTTCTTCCCAATTTTTGACACCAATTGAGCTTACATCTCATTGTCACTTAAAAAGGTGTATTAGTGAATTAATATAAATTTACTTTTTAACATAATAATTTAAACATTTACATTGAGATGATTTATTTACAAACACAAACCTTATGCCTGAAACAAATGTTACAAAGAGGTTTTTGTTCACATCCTATTTTTAGATGCTTAATTACGCAAATAATACTTGTGCTTCCACTAAATTTAGTTTTCACCTTTTACTATCATTATTGACATTTCTTTCCATTTCATAATAATGTCTAGCTCTCACCCATGTTTAATTTCATTCCCTTTCGCACGATCATGATGTAGGACGTTGGCTAGAAAGAATCTGGAACCGGAAAAGAAAGCATGTATTTGCTTTGGAATTCGCCGAAAGCCTAATAAAGGAAGATAATTCTTTTAAACGAGTCACCATAACAGAGGAAGACCAAAATAAAAAAAGAAGAAGAGCAAGAAATGTGTGCGCAAACTTCTCAAAACACTAGGAAAGCAAAAACTCCTGTATTGTCATCATTAACTACTAAAAAGGAGATCCCATTGTTTACTGCAACTAGAAGGGGAATAGAAAAGATTGTGGAGCTGATAATAAGGCTACATCCTCATGCAATTGACCAGCGCGATGAAATGAATCGGAGCATTTTGGATGCGGCCGTCATGTATTGCCAGGAAAAAATCTTCGATATTGTGAAGGAAAAGAAAATACCATTGGCTAGAATGCGTCGAGTTGTTGATATTAGCGGCAACACATTGTTGCACCATGTTGCAGATATGCAGAAAAACAGTGGAGTAACCAAGCCTGGGCCTGCACTCCAACTTCAGGAGGAGTTGAAATGGTTTGAGGTGAGCCCTTTTCATCCCTTTGTCTTTACTTGATACAAGTTTTACAGAAACCGTTAAACGGTAAAAAGATTCCTTTCCAAGACGCGAGTAATAAAACTCGAACTTAATTAAGACACCAGGCTGAACTAGTTCTCCTAACCAACTGCTTAGGGAAAAACTTTAATATTATTCACAAATAAAAACTATCTGCGCTCTAGTAATAACATTTCTGTAATTTGTGATTTTATTTAGAAATAACAATCATATTTATCTCCCAATTATTGCAGCGAGTGCAAGACGTAATTCCTTCTTATTATGTCCCGCTTCTGAACAAAGATGGAATGACTGCAAGAGAGTACTTCGAAATAGCGCCAAGGAGAAACTGAAAAAGGCACAAATATGGATCAAGGAAACATCTCAGTCTTGTTCCACAGTAGCTGCACTTGTTGCAACTGTTGTCTTTGGTGCTGCCTATACTGTGCCCGGAGGTTCTGATGAAAAAGGCAAGCCCATCTTCATCAACTCTCCCTATTTTCTGATTTTCACTGTCTCTGATGTTGTCTCCTTAGCAAGCTCCTTGACTTCGCTTGTGGTGTTTCTCTCTTTGTTGACCTCTCCATTTGAGCTACAAGAATTTCACATCTCTCTTCGTCGAAAACTTATTGTTGGCTTCTCCTTCCTCTTCTTTTCTGTGTTAACGACCATGCTATCCTTTGGCGCAACAATTTTGATACTCATTCAGACAGAGAGGAGGTTGACAACATTACTCCTTTCTATTGCGTCATTCCTTCCTGTCTTAATATTTGGAATATTGCAATTCCGTCTGTACGTCTCCTTTATGGGCTCTACATTCAACATTCTCAAGAAAAACTGGAAAGCTCATCCATCGTTCCTTGTCCCTTGCCTACCATGTAGGGAGACTAAAGTGGCATAGAGGTTTTTCCTTTTTATTGTTGGTTTGAACCTCTACTATTGATCACTATATATTGAGTGTTACAGAATGCTTGAGTGTTCAATTTCGTGATATTTACGAGGTTGTGCTATCTTTAATGATGGCCTTAGAAGTCAATATGTGTTATTTATGTTGCGCATACTTGACCGAAAGCAAACACAAATAAAACTCAAACAACAGATTTATGTGGCTCTCCAAAATCGGGTACATCCACGGAGGCAGCAGATTGTATATTATTGGAGGAATGATATAAACACTCAACCCAGTACAATCACATAAAACCCGGTGTTTCGCTCTTATACTTGGTGTTTCTCTCAAATCTGCATTTTCTCACTCTCATAGTTGCACTCACCACACTTACACTACACTTTTGCTCTCACCACTTACACTACACTCACCCTCTCTTTATCTCTATTTATAGGAGAGCCTTGGCAACTTGGTTGAGGGTGGTTGATGGTGGTTGAATGGTGGTTGGAAGTGGTTGATGGTGGTTGTTAAATAAGAGGGTGGTTGATGGTAGATGAGAAAAAAATGTTGACAATTTGCTACAAATCTCCACCTTGGCAAGATTTTTTCATTCAATCCTCGTGATCAATCAATGCTTCCTTTAACGCGTCATATGGCGCTGCACCCTAAAGGTGCTCAACACCGAGAGATGTTGACCAAGTCCAAACAATGTTGGAACTTGATCCCTGAGACACATTTTGTGAGCATGTCAGCTGGATTATTTGCGGTACCAATCTTCTGTAGCAGAATATCCCCTTCATCCATAAGTTCCTGAACAAAATGAAATCGAACATTGATGTACTTGGTGCGGGAATGATGAACCTCATTTTATCCAAGACAAATAGCACTTTGACTATCACAATGGACATTCACGTGCTCTTGAACAATTCCCAAATCTTCAATCAACCCATGTAACCAAATAGCTTCCTTGAAAGCTTCCGTTACTGTCATGTACTCTGCCTCAGTTATTGACAAAGCTACTGTTGATTGTAATGTTGACCTCCAACTTACAGGCCCTTAAACAAGTGTAAACACATAGCCTATTGTGGAACGACGCTTGTCTAAGTCACCAGCGTAGTCCGAATCCACATAACCAACTAAATTTTGTCCGAGTCTATCATCCCTCACAAACTTCAAACCAATATCAGTTGTGCCATGAATGTACCGTAGAATCTACTTAACTGTCTCCTAGTGACCCTTTCCTGGATCATGCATATACCTGCTCACCATACTGACTGCATGTGAAATATCTGGTCTCATACAAACCATCGCATACATTAATGCACCAACTGCATTTGCATATGGAATTTGAGCCATATGCTTGCGCTCTTCCTTTATGTGTGGAGACATTGAAGCATTTAGCTTAAAATGAGGAGCTAGAGGTGTACTTACAGGTTTGGTCTTACCATCTACCCCAAATCTCTTTAGAATTTTCTTCAAGTATCGGGTCTGTGTCAAACAAACTGTGCCTTTTTTTCTGTCTCTTTGAATCTCCATGCCAAGAATCTTCTTAGCTTCTCCAAGGTCCTTCATTTCAAACTCAGTTCTCAATTGAGCTTTCAGTCTGTCAATCCCCACCTTGCTCTTTGATGCAATCAACATATCATCCACATATAAGAGCAAATAGATGAAAGAACCATCAAGAAGTTTGCGAAAATATACATAATGATCAAACTGACTCCATGTGTATCCATGTTCTATCATGAACTTGTCAAATCGCTTATACCACTGACGAGGAGATTGTTTCAATCCATACAATGACTTCTTTAGTTTACAAGCCCAATTCTCTTTCCCAGTGACTTTGAAACCATCTGGCTGAGACATGTAAATTTCCTCTTCCAAATCTCCATGTAGGAAGGCAGTTTTCACATCAAGTTGGGCTAACTCCAAATCAAATTGTGCAACTAAGGCTAATAGAATACGGATTGAAGAATGTTTAACAACTAGAGAGAATACCTCATTATAATCTATCCTCTCCTTCTGAGCATAGCCTTTTGCTACCAATCTTGCTTTAAATCGGATGTTGTCTTTTCTAGGATTACCTTTCTTCTTGGCATATACCCACTTGCAACCAATTATCTTTTTTTCCTTAGGAAGTTGTACCAAATCCCAAGTCTGATTCTTGTGGAGAGATTTCATCTCTTCATCCATTGCCTCTTCATCATTTTGCACTTAAAGTATCAATAACTCCTTAACTAAAGCATGTTTTATAATAATATATCTAATAATATAAGATACCTTTAATTTATGGTAAATGTTCATTTTAAATGCGGGTCTATCACATAAATGAAAGGATTGATTGATGACTTTAAGAACTCAAATTGCAAGGGCAAAGAGATGTCGGTGCAATCCAAACCGGAACACTGTTCGGTAATTGGATCATATCTGGAGCTATAGATCTTATATTTAGGTCTACTTTATATGGATGGAAAGGTAAGATATAGGCCTATAACTTTCATATGGAGCCCAAGATCTAAAAAGGCCCTTTTCAAGTCCAAACTGTAGCAACAATAAAGAACCCTGAATCTGTCCTCCAGCCCGCGCACTGTTCAGTATTTTGGCCATATCTGGAGTTCTAGAAGTCCAAATGAGCTGAATGTTTTACACAAGATATTTGAGACAATTGCCTAGAACTTTCATGTTTTCGAGTGGCTCCAATTTTGACGTTATCAATGATGTTTTGGGCAAACAAGAGAAGATAAGGATTGTCACCAAGTCAAGAGTTGGCCACCCACTCATCAATTAGTCATCAAATCAATAGTTCCCAATTTTGGCCTATAAAAGGAGGAATTTGCCATGCATTTAGGCATCTTGGTCTCCAGATCAAGATCATGCTTTTGCTTTCTCTCTTTGTATTTTTTGTAATGTTTATGCTTTGCTTCCATTAATATCAAGTTTATGCCTTTCATTTCCTTTCATTTACTTAGTTAACTTTTATCTTATTTATGTTCTTATTTTGTTTATTTATTTTTCTTTCTTTCATTATGTCTAGCTAAGTTTATTATGTCAAGGGGAAAAGGTTACACTAATGGTGTAAGAATAAGTATAATGTAAACTTAATATGGACTTTAATGTTTAATACTAACATGTTTTATATTTGTTATCTTGCTCACTCTTTTTATACTTTGCTTGTTAAATAATTAATCTTGATTTATGTTGTATAACACTTGGTACAACAAATGCTTGGCACTTTCATAGTTCATACTGTATGGTATAACCGACACTTGAGCTATGAAAGGAACTTGATTTGTTAAAAGAGAAGAAGAAGAAGATGATGAGAACTTGGAGATGGAGAACTTAACATAAGTTATAATCATGAATGCTTGACGAGATTTACAAGTATTAGCATTAATCGAATAAGATGACTAATGTAATCATGTTAACAATCTATAATCAAATTGGAACCTTCTTTGTGTGTGGTTTCCAATTGAATAATAATAATTTATACTATACTTGTTTGACATACCATTAGTGGAACCTCTAACCTTGACATTTGTTATTATCATTGTTCAATCCTTTCGTTAATCTTTCCATCTCAAAGTTCTCATCAACTTCTTCTTTTTCTTCTTCTTCTATTATTATTATTATTATTACTACTACTACTACTACTACTATTATTATTATTGTAATTATTATTATTGTTGTTATTACTATTGTTATTGTTGTTATTGTTGTTATTATTATTATTCTTGTTGTATTATTGTAATCTATAATTTATACAATTAACCTCCTTGGGGTTCGACCCTAGTCTTGCCGAGTTATTTATTACTTCGACACTCCTGCACTTGGGAGAAGACAACAATCTTTTGATCGTGTCAATACTACTGTAAAAATGCATATTTTACAAAGTACAAAACTTATGAGCATTCTTGGTATAAACTCAAAACTAGTAAGGGAATGACTCTAGTTACACATAGAAAACTAAAATATTTTTCAATCACTC